GGCCTTTTTCTTCCCAACTGGAGACTTTCTGACTGATCATAGACACAAGGTCCAGGACCTCATCTCCTGTAGTTTTTATCTCTGCTGTGCGGGATGCTACCGCTGCTGCAATGTGGCTTCGGAGCTCGAGGCCCAATTGGCTCTGGGGGGTTTCGTGGGAGGGGGATGCTGGGGGCGTGTCCTGAACAGACTGGCCAGGTAGTTGCCAGTTCCCGAGGGTAGGAGCAGGTTGTGTGGTTCTCTTTGGTGTTTCTGGTCTCGGTCGTTTGGGCGGTCGCTTCGGGGTGGTGGGCTCCCGGAGGGAAGCAGTCGGGGATTCGCAGGCGCCCGGGGCTTCCCCCATACTGAAGTCGGGCATAGGATTGGCGATCGCAATGCTTCTGTAATCGGTGGCTAGCGTGGAATTCCAATATTTTCCTTTCAGTAGCACGGTCCTTAATGTCATAAGTAACGACTATAGGGTCACGTGATACCGCGCCGCTTTCAGCGCGTCCGCGTAGGGAGGCAGTTCTTCATGACAATCACTCAGTTTCACATTCCAGGAATAGCAGCTAAAGCTTATTTTACTTTGCTTTAGTATGTGACATTACAATTCTACTAGTCCTAGCAATGAATATTTGGTCAGGAGCCATTGCACTGAATGAAGAATCACGGCTCGAAGGTGAGTATGCTCTATCTTCCCGCCAAAACAATGATTGTTAACACATTTGTCTAACTAGGTCTACGCTTGATCGACCCGACCTCCCACTGGCAAACAGATATATCCAAAGACTCTACGCTTCAATTTCGCTGCTTCGTCAATCCGGCCTTGATTCCCCTCTATGCGCGAGCCGGACCGAATCTTGAACTACACACGACGAATGTTTCTACGGCGCAATGGCTGAAAAACAGATTGCTGGGGAATATTTGGCTGAAGGAGGGTGATGTGGATATGTTTCAGCCCGTACAAGGTCCTTTTGGACTTCTTGTGGGTGTGGAGGGTACCTCGCGGAAGGCTTCGGGATCGAGTACTTCGGAGCTACTGGTGTATGGCGTGTTGTCGACTACGACTTCTTTAAGACCTATCTCCTCGTTATTGCATTACCCCGAGAACAACCAGGAGCCTGTCATTAAACAAGAATTGAGAATATACGCCTCGCCGCTGTCCGGATCGATTATTTCGAAGGCTGAGAAAGTCGCACCTCCACAGAAATCAGATCTTGCAGGCGATGATGAGCAGATTGCGCAATTCCTTACTGGCCTCCGGTCACCGAGCCCCAAGAGAAAACGGATGGCCAGTTTGTTTGATTCTGTCACGGATCATAAGCGGATGCGGCAGTCGTCGCATTCTCAACCTACCCAGCCGCTGCAGAGTTTCAAGATCAAGAGAGAATCTGAAGAACCTTCACTTCCAGCCTTAGATCGGATCACATCACAACGAACGAGGTCGCTTTCGATTGGGACTAATCTAAAGTTTGCGGAGACGCGGCCGAGTAGTGCTCGCGGATATGTGCGCGGATCAATCTCGAGGAAGAACACACCGGCACCGTTCATAGAGTCTTTGAAACGGGAACAGTCGCCTAATTTGTTTTCGTCGGACCCAAAACAAGAGTCTTCCTCAGAAATCCCCAAAGATGCGGAGACCATCCTGTCAGAAAACAAGAACACCATCACACGCACGATCATGACTTGCATGCGCCTATATGGGTATAACCGACCGAAGACCGGAAATCCAAGTAAGAATACAGAAGATAGATCACAAGGAGACGAGAAGGACCCACACATAGGGACAGCCGATTCGACCGAGGAAGACGAGTTCAAGGCCATGTACCATGCTACGTACCGTGCGTCAACATTTGCATTACGAAAGTACCTGAAAGGACCCATCGCAAATGGCGACGGTGTAAAGGCTCCTCCACCTTTACTGGAGAAGAAGAAGGCTATGGGGTATATCGATGAGTTCCTGAGGCTGTTTTGCGAGGAGAATTAGCCGTATCTGGTACAGGTGATGAGTTATGATTTATGATACTATATATAATTAAAGAAGTAAACAGCATACAACAATGAGTTAGAATGAGGAGATGGCAAACAAATTTATACAATTAGAGAGGTTTGTAGCCGTATATGTCACGTGACTAACGGCGACGGACTGCATACTGCATCATCGCCAACTCCGGCATCCGAGCTGCACCCAACCGCTATCGACAGAAATACACCTGCGTCCTTGGAACCCGAATAACAACTAAAAATGGACGCTTCAAACAACCGCCTTTTCCGCTTCTCCAAACCAGAATGGCTCAATAACAACACCGTCCGCAACTCGGGTGTCTACACGTCCGGCGCCTTGGTACATCCCCATCACCCACCTCCACTCATCCAAGACATTCAACTAACAAACTATATCGTGACAGTTCTCAATCGGATTTTTCTTCCTCATCGATGCAGCCGCCTTCTCGCACAGCTCGCGCAACGGCTCCGATGTGCATGTGAAATTCGTCGACTGGATCCCTGGGATCTGCTCCGCATTGGGAATGCTAGTGATCAATTCCATTGAGAAGTCGAGGCTTCAGGCGGATAGCTGGAGTTATAGTGGGGATGGAGTTGCGTGGAAGGCGCGGTTTGTGTTGTTTTTGGGGTTTGCGTTGTTGGCTGGGGGGTTGGCGGGGAGTGTGGTGAGTTCCTTTCCTTTGTATACATTCTGGACTTGGGGTTGAGATTGGGTACGGGAAATAGGAAATGGGTTGCTAACTGGGTTGGTAGACGGTTATGATTCTTAAGTATTTGGTCCAGGGATATCCGATGCCGACGTTGTATTTTGGGGTTGCGAATGTTGTTGCGAATGGGATGGTTATGCTGAGGTTTGCCTTTGCCCTTCTATTCTTAGGACTGGTCTGGCAGATGCTAACTGTTACAGTTCCGTTGTGCTATGGATCTCTCAGAACATCGAGGACGACTACACGTACAACCTTACGCTGTAGAATAATGCCTACGTACGATTTACAACTGCTTGTTTTCTTTGATCTGGATCAATTGTTGATTGGTAGCTAGGATGGCGTATTGCAATGATTATGTTTTTAGCTTGTTAATGATTGCTTTTTTTGACTTGTGCTAGGTAGCGGCTTTTCCCTGTATCCCAGTCCCGCACGTAGAAACGGCGCAACACGCGGTAAAATATATCAGCGTCGCAAGTAAGGATGGCAGCCTGTCACGGTATGGCCATCACTTGACGCAACAGCAGAGACCAGCCACTTCCTCATAACTGGCGTACGCGTCACCTGTCAGTGGACGCTGTGGTTTGTCTTCGCATTCGTATATCCTAAACTCTATTCCAACCTCGTAATTCATGTAGAAGGCTCACATGGATGAGCCCGCAGTTTGTCGATAATCACATCGACAGCCTCCATGTCACCGGCATCGAACTTCCCACCATGCGGGTATCCGTCAGGAAGATTTTTAACGAGCTCGTCCATGGAAGGCTGGTAATTCCGGACAGCAGAGGAGATTGCATAAACGGCTTTTTTGCGAGCGGCGGGGGCAGGATCTGACGTGGCCATCGAGACCAGTTTAGGGAAAATGTTCAACACAATCAACTAAACAATTAGCATCATTCCATAGAGATATCATCAAGAGGGGAGAAGTCATACCTTATCCTGTGCCTTCTCATTATTTTGCACAGCAGTCCCAATACACCAAGCCGACATCCGTCTCATATCCGCCTCCTCATGCTCGAGCAACTGCACCAATGGCGTCCACAGCCCCAACGGCTCCATATTATTCGCATTATCAATGCCCTCGATCATCTGCTCGAAGTTTTCGAACGCGATCATCTTGTTCTCCAGATCGACGTCGTCGGAATGCAGCGCTGCCATCGCGGCTTTCATGAGGTCTGCATCAGAGGGGCCGCCGAAAAGACTCGAAAGCATTTCGGGTGTGAGGCCGCGGGCAGCGGATTCTGGGGTTGCACCGGTGGCATTGGCGTCGGTGTTTTGTTGGTTCATGCTCCATTTGAGGAGGCCGTTGAGGTTGGGGTCCATGGCCATGATGGATGGTTGTGATTGTGGTTATAGGTGGGATAAATTTTATTGATAGATTTGGTGGAGTTTATGGACGGGTGATGGATTCGTCAAAAGTTGAAAATAAAGAAAACCAAGATACCACGAGTATGTACTGTAGATGGTTTGCGCAAGATAAGAGTTGAACACTGATCGTTTGTAGGAAATAGATCTGAGCGGAGTGGATGATTCATGCAGCGGCGGGATCCTTCCAGTCCGTTCCACCGCCGTCGGTGGCGGAGAGACCTACTACCTATTTGGGTTAACACCCTACAGAGTTACAACATACAGTATAGTATTCCGATGCTGCTGTTTGGGGCGGTCTATAAAATGTTTAATACTGTAGCCCGTGAAGAATAATAGCAGAGTAGGAATATGAATGACGTTGTCACTTACAAACTAGGCTACACTTGAGATCGACCATACTTCCCCTGATCTCTCGCTGTATTTACCATTCTTCTACTATGCGATATAGCTGGGAACTTTGGCTCGCACGACGCAAAACATACTGAGAACTACTAAGAAGCTGTTTTGGAGCCTCCATATGTCCAAGTTAAACTCGACGAAGAGGAACTTACAAAGCAAAAACAGGTCATGGTCCGTCACCTACAGCATTCATTTAATGAGAGTTGAAGGCCTCAAAACCTCATACATAGACTCACCGACCCTCGAGCAACTCAACATCAGGCTCGAGATTATCAACCCCGAAGAAGAAGAGCGAACGCAGCAGGCAACAGAATGGAATCGATTCTTCCAGCCCATGTCATCTTTCCTATTAGCACGATTTCCTACTGACCCAGACGGAGACCCAATAGCCCAGGAAATTCTTTATGATTTTGAGAGACATGTGGACGCGCGGGACATAGCACATTCAGATAGAACACCAAAGGGCATCTATCGCATGCACGCTGGTCATTATGCCATGCGGGAAAATCTTATTTTTCAGATGCTCCAAGAGCTGGTATTGAGAGGCTGAGATCGTTGCGCAGTATCATGAAGTGGCTGCCCACGTATGTATTCCCATTCCATAGTCGTGGGGCTTGAGGTGACCAATTCTTTCTCAGGGCATCTGGTGAAACAATTCCAGACTCGAATATCGAGAACTTGATGCCTGATAGCGCTGTCTATTGAACATAGATGATAGTTATAAGACTTCGAAGAGTTTGTCTCGACTGTCCGCATACATCGTGTATTATACCATATAACTGAGAGTAAAGGCCAGCTCCTTCGAGGTGAGATCCCTATAATCCTCGAAATGATGAGAATCAGATTGACGCTTCCTCAATTCAAATACCAGACCGTTAGACCAGTAAGTCAAATCCGCAGGCGCACCATCCTGTCAAACAAGGTCTAACGTATTAGCCCTAGGTTTTGATAATTTCCATTATAAACGAGCAGGGTAGGATCATGTAAGCACAGTCTAATGAGGGCAAAATAGTCATTTGTATGTCGCGGCTGTAAGATCTGAATACCAAGGATATGGCTCCTTATAACCTTCTAACTCGGTATGTGGCGAGTTGTCCCATTGGAGACACAAGTTCTGCAAAGTGAAATAGGAGTACGTGAAGTGAATGGAAGTTGCGAAGAGAAAGAAACAATCTCTTCACTCGAGGATCTCTCTCAAAGTAAAGTATGAACCCGAGAAATGGGCTGGGGCTGGAAAGTGGGTTACGCATCGACTGTGCCTTAAATGCATTTCGATATACTTTACTAGGCTTGTCAATTACAGGAAGACCATTCCGATTGCTCAAATATCTGCGCGCAAATACCAAGAACGCACTTTGACTTTGACTGGCAAACAAGGATCGCCAAAAACTATTGCGGGAGAAGAAGAATTTTATACAGATCATTCACTCGCCCGCCAAAGGCGCATCCCATAGGTCTCTCTCCTCAGATACTTTCTATACACTTCGTCATCTCTACCATATCTTGGAAAGCCGGACTCGCAATTCATATAAACAGTCAACTCACGTCAAATTCTCAAACCGTATAGACGAAGCTCTGATCCCGCTATCAAACGGAGACTGTCTGTCATTGAAGTAGCCTCGAGGGGGAGGTTGAAAATCTGGAACTGCCAACTCTATTCCATTTGGGGCCAAAGACTATTTCTTAATGTAAAGATGAATTATATTCCCTACATGCCATGAATCTGCCAACGATATTTCAGTATGGATTCCAGCAGATCGTACGCAGACCGTACGTTGATCGCTATTTGGTGAATTGAAACGAGGAAACGTGGGAGCCAGTCGTGGATATTCAAGAGAACGTGTTACAGTAACAATGACCGGATCGTGGGTTCTTGTACAGACGCCCTACGGACCTTGCTCACTTCTTGAGTTATCCTATTTATGGATCGAGAAGTGGTTTATATGTATAACCTCATGAGGACTTCGCTAACGGCTGGACTAGATCATCGCTGCTCAGATTCAAAACTTGGAGATTACCAACCCTGTCGCCATGTCGACAGAGTACAGGGATAAGAGCTATAGTATACGCCTCCATAAATATTTATACCGATAGGGTCCAGTGAGACGTAAACTGACGTACACCGTACTCGTATACAGGACCCTAGAACCATGGAATGATCAGCCTCGCGGGGCCGAGTGGCGGTATCCGATTCCGCACAAAGGGTATTTTATTATATAGGAGCATAAGTGTTAAAGAAGAACATCAATCTAGACGAAGTCGAAAAGGAGGCAATAGTGCCGTTAGTGAGTGCAAATCCCCCTAGAAGAAACTAAGAATAGGAATCTCCATAAATACCCAAATAGTCGACTCCACACAATGACAGGGTGTCAACTTGGCCTTAGGTCTCAATGCCTGTACTCCGTAGTAGTAATAGTAGAAGTAAAGGCCTAATGACAATAGAATACTCCATACCTTGAATAGAATATTCCCTGGATTCCGGACGGAGGACCGAGACCTGAAGGCCCCACGAGGATGCGCAATGGGTTTGCCATCCTTTTCGGGGGAGGGACTCTACGAACGGTTCTGCCTGTACAGAGTATACAGAGTATACACAGAGGCGTAATCATAAAGAGATTCATCATCACCAAGGCAGATATATTATTCAGTATATTCAGCATATAAGAGAGTGTACAATTATATACGTACTTGTAGTAGTAGTGTAGTGATAGGGGATTTGATTGTGGCGGTGGACAGCAACGACGACTGCCGGCGGCCACACTAGACTCTTTACTGTCCTGTACGCTCCTCTCCTTAATCCCCCTCTTCTTTTCCCTCTTCCCTTCTTCTTCTTTCTCTTCTTCTTCCTTCTCCCTCTCCAGCAAATAAACCATCACCACCTTTTTTTCTTTTTTAACCACCTCTTCTCTCTCATCTTCTCTTTTCTTCTTCTTTCTATATTCTCTCTCCTAATAATCTCTACCCCGTTGTAATCCTATTTCTGCCACCATGGAAGGTAAGCTCTTCCGGACACCTCAGCGGCTTCTTGTGCGACGCTCAACGCCCTCGAGCTGCTTTTTGTCCTCCCTTTCATCCTTTTTTATCTATAATTTGCATCGAGACTAATTTCTATTGCTTTTCCATTCTACAGAGGAAGTCGCTGCTCTCGTTATCGACAATGGGTACGTTTGTTTGTTGTCCTTTTCCCCTCGTGTTGCTGCTTTGGGCACTCCACGATCCGGTCGCTAGCTACGACCTCGCTCCCGACCGGCAGAGAAACCTCGAAGCAACACTTCATCAGGGACTATGGCAAGGCTTGAATATCTTACTGACTCTCTCTAGTTCGGGTATGTGTAAGGCCGGTTTCGCCGGTGACGATGCGCCCCGGGCTGTCTTCCGTAAGTCAACCCCGCCATCCCCTTTCCCAACAATGCCGTCTTCTTCAGATGGTGTCAGTTGCCCTTGCGTCAACTGGTAATGCATCTGAAAAACATGCACGTCAAATATCAGACTGACAGAAAATTACAGCCTCCATTGTCGGTCGTCCTCGTCACCATGGTATCATGATTGGTATGGGTCAGAAGGACTCCTACGTCGGTGATGAGGCACAGTCGAAGCGTGGTATCCTTACCCTCAGATATCCCATTGAGCACGGTGTCGTCACCAACTGGGACGACATGGAGAAGATCTGGCACCACACCTTCTACAACGAACTCCGTGTCGCTCCCGAGGAGCACCCCATCCTCTTGACCGAAGCCCCCATCAACCCCAAGTCCAACCGTGAGAAGATGACCCAGATCGTCTTCGAAACCTTCAACGCCCCCGCCTTCTACGTCTCCATCCAGGCCGTCCTGTCCCTGTACGCCTCCGGTCGTACCACCGGTATCGTCCTGGACTCGGGTGACGGTGTCACTCACGTTGTCCCCATCTACGAGGGTTTTGCCCTCCCCCACGCTATCTCTCGTATCGACATGGCTGGTCGTGATCTTACCGACTACCTTATGAAGATCCTTGCTGAGCGTGGTTACACCTTCTCCACCACCGCCGAGCGTGAAATCGTCCGTGACATCAAGGAGAAGCTCTGCTACGTCGCTCTGGACTTTGAGCAGGAGCTCCAGACCGCTGCTCAGAGCTCCAACCTCGAGAAGTCGTACGAACTCCCTGACGGTCAGGTCATCACCATTGGCAACGAGCGTTTCCGTGCTCCTGAGGCTCTCTTCTCGCCTTCCGTCCTTGGTCAGGAAGGTGGTGGTATCCACGGAACCACCTTCAACTCCATCATGAAGTGTGATGTTGACGTCCGTAAGGATCTTTACGGCAACATTGTCATGGTAAGCTTTTTTCCTATAGTATAAACGAGGATGTGTACTAACGAAATTAGTCTGGTGGTACTACTATGTACCCTGGTATTGCCGACCGTATGCAGAAGGAAATCACCGCTCTTGCTCCTTCGTCGATGAAGGTCAAGATCATTGCTCCTCCTGAGCGTAAATACTCTGTGTGGATTGGTGGTTCCATCCTGGCTTCTCTGTCCACCTTCCAGCAGATGTGGATCTCGAAGCAGGAGTACGACGAGA